TTTTTTTTTTCTTAACAATTTCTATTTAGCTCGTCTTCTTGATCGAGTAAAAGAAACAAGTTTATATACACAAAATCATGAATCAATTATAAAAACAGAATCCGATATTCAAACAACTCGTAATTTATTAAATTAACTTATTGTTTTGAGAGTTTTCGTTCTTTTTTTCTTTTTTGTCATTGTGTCATTTTTGTGAATTTTCGTTTCTCTTTTGAAAATATTTTCTAGATGAATATTAATTTTAAAGAAGATCTTAAAACTACATTAACAAATTGTGAAGATCCATTTCGAGCTATAAAAGATATTCAAGATGAAAATGGAATTGCTCTAGCACAAATAAGACCTGCATTACCATTACTTGATTTACTTGGAGTTAAACGATTAGATTTTCATCTTGCTGTTCTTGATGATATGAAAGATAGATTAATTAAAAGAATACAAGAATTAGCACAACATGATGATAAACAACAATTAGAAATTTTATTAGAAAAAAGTTTTGCTGTTATTAATTTAACACATGTTACACCAATTGTGATGGAAATTGTTAAATATATGCCAAGAATACCAGATAAGTAGGTTATGAATAAACTAGTTAGTTAGATAAAAGAAAATTGATACTTTTATTTAAGTATATAATCAAACAAACTCTTGAATACGTAGTAGTGAGTCGTTCTTATCGATCGAAACATCGTGTTTCGCATATTCTAAATAGATAAAGACGACTTAGATGATTTGATTTATCCTAGTTTAACTATCAGATAGTAGTGAAGGTATTCTAGATCGATTGTAATACAAATAAAGACCAGGAGTGCTACACTTATTTGACTATTTTTTGCAGTCATAGAACAAACAAACCTGTGTATCGTATAGATCTCGATGAGCTCTACAACTTTCATTTCAGAGAAAAAAGTAAGTGGCGCACTTACCTTCTATACTTCATAACTGTTTTGCCGGACAAAATTTCGACTACGTCCTTGAGACAAAAGTTGTAGAGCTCATTGAAATTTACACAATACACGAGTTTGTTTGTTCGGTGACTATAAAAAATAGTCAAGTAACTCTAAATACATATCACTTCTCAAAAGAAGTAAGTATAGCACCTCTATTTCAAACATCAATGTATATCTAATCTAATTAAATTACTATGACTGTTATATTCCTTTATTTCTAAACATTATCTTATTCTTTTTTATCAATGTAGATATGTCAAATATATCACTGAACACGAACAAATATATTCTCGTGCTCCTATTGAATTAAAACGTTTAATATGGACAGATAATCATACATTATTTCAAAAAGAACTTCAACCAATAATTGCTCAATATTTAACTAATGTTGAAGAACAATTATTACAATGTGATCATAATTATTTTCTTCAATTACCTAAACAACGTCGACAAACTTCACCAACAATACAATCACTTGTACATATGATTGGAACAAATATAAAACTATATGATATTGTACGAACAAGTTTACAAAAATTATTTCAACGAACTAAAATAGCTCATTATTCATCATTACGTTTATTATTATTAATGGCATTTCATGATTTAGAAAATAATAGTGTTTCTAAATCAGATTCCATACATATTTTTGTTTGGACACTTGATGCAGCATTAAAAGAAAGAAAATTAGATGTTAAAAAACAACGTGAAATCGAACAATTTTTAGATGCACATGCAAGAGATACAGATATTATTAATAAACATATACCATTTGTACTTGCTGATCCAAATATTATTTCAATATTAGCTAAATCATGTGTACTTCTACTACATAAACAGGTTAAATGAAATATTTTAATTAAAATAGAATATGAGGAAATACTGATGAGGGAACTACCTAAGGTATCAAAAAGCTTTTGAGCTGAAATTTTGCCCACAAATAGGGGATACATAGACAGGAAAAAGCCTAAAAGGTTATAGGCCCAAGTTGATGTTTGCCTGAGATATCGACTATTTATTGTATTTGTCCTGTAGGGCCCTATCTGTGCAGTAAAATCAAAGTTTCGAATTGAGGCCAGAAACTTTGACTACACTAAGACCTCAA